TATAAAATAGTTATTCATTAATATTATTTTTTTGCTCATTAATACCCTTTTATTTTTATTTTTTGTTTATTAGTGTTTTTCTATTCAATATATATTCATTTTATCTTTCAATTGATGTCATATATAAGGATAACGTGTATATATATATATAAATATATATTTGTATTTCGATCAGCATATTAGAGATTAATTTCTTGGGATGCTTAATTTGTACTTACATTTAAAAAAAAAAAAATTATTTTTGAATAACATGAGAAAAGAAAAACATATATGGGGCTTAATTTGCCCTATAAACTGAAACAAACAAATTAAACCTCTAATTAAAATAAGTGGGCACACATAGGTATATCTTAACTATAATAGTTGAAACTTTTTTTTTTTTTAGTATATCTATTGATAATTTATATAAGAGAGAATAGATCTAATTTTTTTTTTAAATTCTTTTCTAGCTAACTCAATATTCGAATATGATACCTCTAAAACCGTGCACCATATGTTGTACCATAGACTAAAAGGAGAAAAAAAGGGCTAAACAAAGATATTGATGATCTAGTTCTAAAGTGCTTTTTCTTCTAATTTTTTATTAAATTCAACTAATAAATACTAGCAGTATATACACACACACACACACGTATGAAAATGTATTTTGCAAGTTGTTTTCTTAATTTTTTTTGGAGGATATGTGTAAAAACTCATTTTTTTTAATTAATATTTTTAAAAACTAATTGTTGAATTGAAAGTTTTATTTGTATAGATTATGCATACCAATTTTCAAATTATTCTAATAAACCTAACCACTTTATTAATTATAAGAAATTTAATAATGTTAAATATATGTCATTAAATAGAATTTCTTCGATTAAAAAGTTATAAATTTTAAATCAATATGAAAATTGACATGCATGATTTATATGAATAAAATTTATATATATAGGAGAAGAATGACATGCTAGCTTCATATATATATATATATATATATGTATACCTTATTTTACAGCTCAAATTACCTCAACTATAAAATAAAGACTATTGAATAGAGAATGCCCAATATTAATTGGCATTGGGGGAGATAAAGCGGGCATGAAGGGGGTAAAGGCCCCTTTAAACTTTTAAGAAATAAAAACTTTAGTCTATTAAATTAAATTTTTATTTTTTTCAATCCTTATTTATTTCATACATTTTAGTCATTTTCTAACTATTATTTTTTCAAATATTAGTTTTAATGTTTATGAGAAAAACAAGAAAAATAAATTTAAAATAAAATATGATAAAAAGTAAAAATTAATTGAATACAAAATTGTTTAATATCTTC